CCTCAGATCACTTCCCACCTTCCCACTTCCCGGGAACGAATATAGAGGCAACCATGTTACTATGGAAGAGAATTACAAGCTGTTGGAGATAATGTAAAATCGTTGTTAAAGATTATCAGAGTACATGAATTATTGAATGGAAACTGAGCTGCAATTCCCTCCTGCCCCACAACCACCACCACAAAGCATGTGAAAAGCAAGCGCTCATCCTTTTGCCAGTGGATGGGGAAAATTAAATTAATTATTGGACCCTTGCGGTCCATTTAAACTGGACTGTGACAAGATTAAATATAGAAAAGTCTGGATCAAGGCACAAAATGCTACAGGGATCTTTTAAGGCTGATAGCATTGGCTTAACTATATACAATCCTTGTTTATAAAAGGAAAGGCACATTTTATTCCAAAAACAGCATTGCAAGTAATTTTAAGATAATATAAAAATTATACAGGTTTTACCATCTGGAAGAGGGGCTTTCTTTTTATGTACACATTTTATATTAAGGCCAGTTTATATAAACAGCAGGCTCAGTAAAGCTTTTCCAAGACCCAGCTTGCAACTGCATGTTTAAATGATCTTCAGTTAATAATGTCCTTGGAGCACATGCACACGTGCAGCATGTGTTCAGTTAATGGCTATCCTGCCCTCTCTCGCCGGACAGTCATTTTCAAAATTCATGAAGCTCTTCCATCTGTGATGGGAAAGTATTCAATAAGACAACTAATCTCACCCTAAAGAAACAGCCTGCGGAAAGGGATGTTCTTTTTTTTTAAGCACAACTCAAGTCTGCCAATAGTGCTGATCATACAAATAACTGAGCTTTGTTCTGAGCATACACACAGTGAAGAATGTTATTTCAGTTTTTGTGTGTAAAACTGAACAGCGTCTTTGTGAGCAGAGGCCATCTTCTGGAAACAACAGGACATTCTCAACCCGCAAATAACCAAGGACCATACTGTAATTCTGTACAGACCACAAGAAGAGTCACTGCAGACCATGTTATGAAACAAAACTGAAAATGCAAGGGAGGGTGCATCAAATCGGGATGCCACTGCTTAGAAATGTGGACAACTCCTTCTTTAAAATCTAAAACCCCAGAGACTCCAAAGAGAAACAGAAGTTAAGTCAGATCCTTCTACACCAAAAACATTCCTACATGGCTACCCACAGGGAGAGATTGACTTTCTGCAAGGGCACTATTCAAAGTGGCAGGAGTATGCACCCCTTATGCATGTAAGCAGACACGATAAGTAGTCATGGTTCTATTTACATTAAGACTTTAAAGATCTGGGTTCTTGTCTGTTTACTGAGCTAAAACAAAATGATGCAAGCAAATCTCTTTTGCAACAGAAGGAAAATGTAAGTGATGCCACAGATACAGATGGCAGTTCATGTCCCAGCACCTAAAAATTCCAAACAGGAGTTTTAAATGGAATGCAAGATTAGAGCTTCAACACAGTGCTACTGAAGGGTGTCACAGGCGTGCTTGCCAAAGAGGCAACAGAGGTTGTCTCAAGTTAATGATAATTTCCACAGAAAAGTTATGATTTTTGACTGACTCGTTCTAGGAGTTCCACGAAAGGCACTTACTGGGTGTCTTTCGGTAAATGTTTCTCTAACTGCTATTATGTTCAGTGACAGTACATATAAGAGCCTATTTCAGACAATATTATTTATACATGAAAGAAAAATATGACCTGAGTTGAATATTCCTCCTTGGTTGAGAACCAAAGGAGCATTTTTAGGTCAGGGTAGGGAGGAAGAAGGACATACTTAAGGAAGTCATTGCTACTATGCAAGATTAATGCAATAACATCTTTGTAGAGACAGCTTTCCTTAATACTCTGCTAAGTATTTGGCATTATACCATGCATAAATTTACTTTGGACACTGCAGAAAATACCTTCGATTCCAGCAGAAACAAACACAGAAAAAGTGTATGACCAAAAGGCACAATAGCAATTGTCACTGGGTACTGCAATGAGGCACTGTTTACACTACTGAGGAGAAATAAATACTGAAATCTACCAAGGGACCTAGAATCCCCAATATTCCCCAAACAGAATGCTTCTATGCCCTCAGCCCATTTTTAGATTGTTACAAATAAAAATGCTCACCCTCTCTCCATAATACATTCCCACCCCACCCTCAAAAGTAGAGAGATTTATAATAGCTGCTTCCCTTCCTCAGTGTTCATACTTCACAGATCTACTGACTGGAAACCCGTACTTCTGGCTTTACAGCCTCTAGCAAGAGCTGTAAACTAAACAACATTCTCTTTAGAAAACAAACATGACGAGTCAATAAGAGAGACTCATAAATCCTTTGTGACGGGCAACCTGAGATACCAGACTTGGAAAAAAAGTTCTAGTCACGGATTACAGATGGATTCCTTCCCCAAGTCACACTGACCTGGGTGAGAAAGTCATGTTCAAAATAACAAAAATGTCCAATGTGTTTTTAAAAACGATGTGGTTTCCTCAGTTATAGAAAATACTTAAATGTGAATAGACAAGCTTTTGTGCAGGCAAGTGTAGCAGTGAGAAAGTGCCAGTGGTCTGCAGAAAAATGATCAGGATAGATCATAGCAGCATCCCGTTAACACTAGATCTGCTAGGAAAACAGATGCTTGAAAGTGGGTGCTGATCGCTAACGAACACTGTCAGGCATTCTAGGGAAGCTTAGAGCAAAAGTCAGCCGCTCTTTCAGGGAGTGGGCACCACCCAGCAATTCCACGCAACATCATGACCCGCCCACACACACACGGTGCACGTAAGAGTGTGTGTGGTGTGTGTATGTGTAAATAGGAATCAGAAATGTCACGAGATTTGGAGCATTTTTTTTTCTTAAAAACATTTTTCTCCTTTCCCAAATTTGAGAATCAGATGACATCTAGTGGTATCACGGGTATCAGACTGCCCCCTCCCAAGAAATAGCTCCTACTAAGACAAACTTGAAGCAATGGGTTTAAATTAGCAGGAATAAGCCAGCAACCTGAGGTATAGGGCAGTTTCGTTATTGCTGCATACTATACAGTACAAAATTTATCTAGAACATCAAGCTCCCTTCACTATGGCAAATAATGCCTATATTCAATTATTTCAGTAATATTGTTACTTGAAATCTATCATGGTAAAAACCAGCTCGAATCAGACTACTAAAATCCTCGAGTCTCTGGAACATCCAACTCCAAGACCCTAAAACATTCTTCTGCTTTTGAAGCAACGTTGAGTCAGAGACTACACTTCCCAAGCCTCTTTTGACCAGCCAGAATTTGGTCTATTTTGTGCCAATAAGCTTGCCCTGCATTAGAAATACAATCTGCTGTTACCTCTGGTCTAGCAGCAACATCTGGAAGGCCACAAGTCTCTACTACTATGGCCAAGAAACTCCTCCTTAATAAAAAATCTTGAGATATATACTTACTCAGTCCTCCTGTTGGCATATTCCTTTATATTTGCTATCTGCCTCTTTCATTACTGGTAATGGGTCTGCCCTTTCCAATCCAATTCCTGCCTGACAGAATCACCGTCTTGAGTCCAGATAATAGAGGAAAAGGGAAAGGGCTAAGCAGGGAGTGATTTTTCACCTCAACCAAAACAAATGGAACAAAATCAATTCACTAGTACAGATAATTCACCAGCACTACAGAAGTCAACAATTTAAACCATGGCTTTGTTTTTGATATGCTTTAACATGCTTATGCTTTTGGTCTTGTTTCCATCCTCTCCCAGCAAAACCAATAGCACTTGTGAAAGAGTATTTCTTGAAATGATTATGAAAGCACTATCCAACTCCAGGCAAGTGAGCCCCAAGGGTCTGCAGTTGCAAGCACCCGGACCATTGTGGGGACTATTGAGCTTAATTCGAATGTTGTCCTGAGGAAGGAAAATGACAACCTTTCCTCCCTGCCCCTGACGAAAATGCTGCTGTAATCCAGCTTTGCTAAACCACTGCAACAGATTAGATATAAATCACATAAATGACCCTGGTACTGCCCCGGATGGAGGCAGAGAGGAGGAGGGTCAACACAATAAAAGGAAAATAGAACACGACACAGGAAGAGGGGTATCCAGATGCCACCAACACAAAATTTTACTGAAGGCAGAGAAAAGCAATGAACTGGTTCTTATACTACTGAGGAGTGACGTGACGACAGGACTTCAGAGCAAAGCAGCGGAAACAAAATATAATGGCTAGCTATAATACCCCAGCAACAATTTATGGACCCTTTTGTGAACATTCTGGGGCACAGAAATTTACCCTGCATGTGGCAAATACTGAAGAATTGAAAAAGGCAGGAACTTCATGAAGGCTATGTAGCAATTAAAGATTTCCCTCAATACTTAGTGAAAACAATTTGCCATGCTAGTTCATTAGCCTTGTTTTAATTAGCAGCAGGAAAAAGACATAGGATATGACCAGCTGAATGTTCTGGTATGGTGCTGAACAATGTGTGAACAAAGTGGTTCACACTGAACACACTGAGCTCTTAGGAAAACTACCTAAACTCTCTGAAGGCTTATTGGGGGGGGGGGGGGG